TTGGCTTGAGGAGATAGCTGGTTGCCAATCTTGGCCATCTTCGTTGGGTCAGTGGAATTAATGGGTACTTCCATTAACTCTTCTACATGTTCCCCCTGGATTAGTTCCTCATCGTCCCTAACATCAAGGCCTTCGATGACCATGGCTTCCTTTATCTTCACATTTTTTAACGAAATGACATAACATTCTCGGGCTACGATCTGCTCGCCCCTTACGGTGTCGACCCCATGATCGGTCGAAAATTTTGTTACCAAATGATACGTGGATTTCACAGCTTGGAAATCATTGAAAGCTATACGCCCAAGTATGACGTTGTAAGCAGAGGGGCAATCAATAACCAGAAAAGTGAGAATCTTCATAATTTGCCTTGGGTACTCACCAATAATGATTGGGAGGTTGATGGACCCTATAGAGATTACCCGATCTTCGGTGAAGCCAACCAGGGGTTTTTACAAAGGTGATAACTTTTCTTCACCGATCTGGAGCTGCTTGAAAGCATTGAGAAAGACAATGTCTGATAAGCTGCCATTATTGATAAACACACATTGGACTTTGTAGTTTGAGAGAAGAGAGGAAATGACCAGAGGGCTGTCATGGGGATATCGGATGCCTTCACAATCTGCACATGTGAAGGTGATCGGTTCCAACCACCGCTTAGGTTGCTTAGGAGGTCGATGGACCATCTTTACTTCTTTGTTCGATCCCTGTTTGATTCTTCGGAGCTCGACTCGCTGTGCCGACTGAGATTATCTACAAGTCCTCCTACAATTACCCTGATTTCTCCTGCTGGGAAAGCATGGCCCCCTAGCACTCGAGGTTGGTGTTGGGCTCTATTACTATCCCGCTGAGGCTGGTCAGCCGGTCTTGGCGGGGTGCGTTTGTCATTTCGTTTTAGGAGGTCAGTCTTGGCTCTTTGTTGAGGTCGGGGTGCCGTGAACCGAGTTAAACGTCCTTGACGAACCAAGTCTTTAACTTGATCCTTAAAATTAATGCATTCGTCCTTTTTATGGCCATGGTCATGGTAGAAACGATAATGGTTGGACTGATCCCATAGGTTAGAAGGAAACTTGGAGGGTTGGGGCCATTTTAGGTTATAATCTTGTTGGATTTGGTTGAGGACGTGCTCCATAGACGAGTTAAGAAGGGTATATCGCTCGAAACGACCGGATGGGCTGGGAGAAGCCGCTTGATCGGAACGTGGTGGTTGGTCGGGATGAGCATATTGGGGATGTCTAGGTTCCGACTCTTTTCTATTGTCTTTGGGCTGTGAGAGTTTGGGTGTAGAATCTTGGCGGGCTGCCAAAGAGTCTTCAGCATTCATGTACTTCTGGGCCTTGGCAAGCAGGATGGCCATGGTAGTTGGAGGATTTTTAGAGAGGGAAAAAAAGAAGTCTGACGGATGTAGTCCAACCATGAAGGCTATCAAAATGACTTTGTCATGGTTCTCCTCAACTTGTATAACTTTTGAATTGAAACGAGTGACAAAGCTACGTAATGTTTTCCCTTCAATCTACTGAATATTTAATAGCTGAGTTGCTAGGCGACGCTGATGCTGAGCACCAATGAAATGGCTCAGAAATGACTTGCTTAGATGGTTGAAAGAAGTGACTGAGTCTAGACGGAGCTGATTGAAACAGAGTCGCACCAACCCCTTTAGTGTAATCAGGAAAGCTTAACACGTGATCTTGTTAGGAAAAGCATGGAGGACCATGAGCGTTCAGTATTCTTCCAAGTGGTCGACTAGATTAGTTGTACTATCGAAGGTGTCGATCAACGACATTTTAAACTTGGAGAACAGAGGCTTGTCTCTGATAGAAGCAACAAAAGGAGAGTTGGCAGTGGAGGAAGGTTTGTTCTGCATGTTTTGCATGAGCCCCTAAAGTTAGAGTTTCATGACACGTAGCTCCGCGTCCCAGATGGGAACATTGTCTCCTCCGGAAGGAGGCAAGGGTTGAACATTGCTAGCTTCGCCTTCATGGATAGTAGCGTAGTGTGGTGGATGACGATTATGGAGGGGTTGTAACTCGTCCTAGTGAAATTGCGAGCCCTGAGGAGGAGGGCACAGGCCCTCCAAGTTCAACGACTGAGCCTGCGGGAAAAGGTCCTTGGGAAACATGGGGTAAATGTGAGTGTTGGTGGTTTGGAGGAACGCCTTGAGGTGGTGGGGGAGGAGGAATGAGTAGATCTCGCTCGAGCAAAGCATTGATCAAGGCCTAATTTTGCTCAACCAAGCGGTTGATGTTGTTAGTGAGTTTTGTAAAATACTGAGGTGGGTTGTTTGGGTTGGAAGTTCGGCTGGGGGGGTAGATGACATTGTTTTGTGAAGCCATGGATCTCGTCGTAACCATCCACTTCGACGCAAGAAAAAGAGAGGCAATAGGAGACGGGTCTCCGGCGACAATGAACACAACTGTCAACCGAAGTGTATTCCCACAGACGGCGCCAACTGATAATGCAGTTTTGTCGGGGTAGGACTAGGTCGGACTGATCCAGGGGCTCCATGGGTCGTCTCTGCTCTGTCCTTCCAGACATACCTGCAACGAGTCCAATAGAAAGGTTCCGATATAGGGTGGTTCCCTCCTGTGGACCCTCCGATGATTAAGTTAGATGGTATCAGAATGGTATAAAAAAACATTCTAGAGAGGAAGATCAAAAGAGAGAGAGAGAGAGAAAAAAAAGAAAAAAAAAAAAAGAAAAAAAAAAAGAGATTTCTTCCTACCAACCACGTCCATTTGAGGCTTTTTATATCGTTCAGTAATCATTTCCTTATTCATTCATGCTATCCCATTAGCCGAAAGCCTGCCGTTTGCTTGCCGTCAACCATGGTGGTTTTTCCACGCCTCAGAACGAGAGGTCTTGTTGCATTTAATGCTTTGGCAGTCTCATTTAATGCTTGGCGTGTAGGCTTAATAACTCCCCTAAATCTTTGTCTGCCATGTGGCCGACTCCTTATTTGACACATGGCTTGCTGGTACCTGGGCTTGATCATTGTGAGTTCTTTATTGGGCTTAGCATTGGGCCTGATCTTGATGGGCTTCAGGTGAGTGACTGTTTGGGTAACCCAAAATGCCCCTCTTTGGGTCGTGCCCGTCAGTACCGATTTCAAATTTGAAAATTGGGTTGGTATTGGGTTCTTGTATGGGAGTAGTAGTAGATATTATTGTTTCACTAATGGAGGTTCAATGTAGAGCACACCTACCATGATGCATAATATCCTTATTTGCCTAATAATCTCAGTTTTGTTACATATAATATTAAAATAGGTAGGGGAATGTTAGCAGGTATTTTAATATTATAATGTGATAATATGTTACTGTTGGTTTTTCTTTTCTTTCCCTCTAAGTTTCCAAGTCTTGGTCTTTGTCCACCAAAACTTATCCATCTAGTCATCATCAAGTCTTCGCCAAGACTTTCAAGTCTAAGTCTTCTAAGTCCACCATGCTTATCCTTTCAAGTCCATCCGTTCCTTATCCACCTAGAACCTTACCTATTAAGTTTTGATTTCTATATATATTTGAGCTTAGGTCCTATCTAGAGAGACACGAGAGGTGAAGAAGTTTTGGGTTGCTTTGTTATGTCTAATGTGAGATTATCAGGCAAATAAAAAAGGGTGTGTGTGATAAAGCTTTGGGTTCAACCAATTGTGCAGTATTGGTGAACCATACGACTTAGTCAAGCTGTTGTATCTTGGGAGGACAAGTCAAGGTTTTTCTGCTACACCGGTGTGAGGCTTTGCCTAACCGCAGAGGGCTTGAATCTCCTTAAAGAGTGAATTTCCCACGCCTCAGTCCTTATATTAATTATTATAACTTTTATTTTGTGTATTTTCTAATGTTTTATTTATAAGTATCACCAACAGTTTGTCTAAGCGAGGTTAATTTATGATTTTTGTTTATTTTCTTCGTACATGTGAAACAGAAAAATGATCTCAAAAACTGTTTTTGCCTCATTTTTCCCTCTACACTGTTTATCATTTTCTGCGATGAACAAGTGTAAATATGGAACTGACCGGGTTAGAAATCGCCGTTTGATCCAAAATTTTTTTTTGATAGTTGTCGTCTTCTGTTTGAAAATCCTATTCAATCAAACAATGATGTAAAAAAAATGACATAGGAGCTACAGTTTGGAGTGGAAACTTTAATCACATATTTATAATATCTCAATTTTACATTTATTTATAAATAAATATAATAATAAGTGAATTTATAATTAGTTTCTACGCATATGATTTAGATTTAGTTTGGCATAATAAAAAAAAGTTAAAAAGTTACTATCTTAGTTAAGTCATATTATTTATTTAAGTCACATCATTTTTTTATCACATCACTTCAAACTCAACTCATATTTCATAAAAAGTCAAAAAATATACTTATTTACTTAATCCCAAACAACCGCTTAGTCCATTTTTGTTTTAGTGCATATAGCATGACCAATATATGTGTTATTAGAACGGTTCCATAACTTATTATATTTCTGTATCGATCACAATTTAATGAGTTCAACCGACATCAGTCATATTTTATTTAACAGTATGTAATGTCTAATTATTTGATCTATGAGGTTCATCAGCAGAAAATTTCTTACAAGTTATATAAAATTTGTGGAGTTTATTTTATTTTGTTTTATTTTATTTTTTCTAATTTTAAATAATGCCAGTATAATTCACTATTTTTAATATATATATATATATATATATATTTTGAGAAATTATAGAAAATTTCTAACATTTGACTTGGTAATAAATTAAATCCTAACTTTTTAATTATTTTAATTAAAAACTATACTTTCAAAATGGTATTAATTTTGACTATTCATTTATATTAGTTAGTTATAATTAACAGGGAAGGCACCGTTTGAGAAGAAGGTTTGTAAGTTTTTTTAGCTATTTTAGTCACAAAAGACAAAATAGGCTGTTTTAGCTACAACCAACAAAACATCACATTCAACCCATAATCATTATACTCTTCTCTTACAAAAAAAGTCAAAAAAATCAAAAAGTCCTTCCCAAGTCAAACTTTTTAATTCAGGTTAAAATAGTCAAAAAAATAAAAATAAAAAAGTCAACATCCTTTCCAAACGAACCCTTAGATAATTTAATAATTTTTCTTTACTCTTTCATTACTGTTGATAAGTACCTTTTCACTCTTACTGTTATTAATCACCACCCCTCATATTTTCAAATCCAATGCCATTTTCCCACCCTCGTCGTCGTCCATCACTACCCCTCCTTCCCTCATCTATAGCCATTGTTGCCATGTAGCAACACCGACAAAAAAAATATTAAATTATCTAAATTATTCCTATTTATAATTAACATATGATTAAAATTAATATAATTCTAAAAGTTAAAAATTTAAATTGAAACAATTTAAAAAAAATAAAGAATTGATTAGTTATTCGGATTAGGTCTTGGATTTTTTTTTTTTAATATGTAATTTTTCATTTTTTATAATATGTACATAAAAGTATGAGTAATATTATAAATTTAAACTTAACTATTCAAAATTATACCTTACCATATACAAATTCAATCACAATCACACAATTGGTAAGTTGAGGAAAGATAAGAGTGGGTACATAATTATTCTAGGATTATTTTGTGTTGGAATTTAATTGGAAGCTCCCAAATGTACCTTTCTTATCTTGTTTATTAGATCTAATGAATGAATAGATTCACCTTTGACAACTGCTAAACGACCATTTTGCGGGAGAGAGAGAGAGAGATAAAGAAACAGAGTCGTTAGCATTTTGTTGTTGGAGGAACACAACCAGAGAGGCAAGAACAACATCCTCTCTCCTCCTTCTCTCTCCTCCCTCTCTCTCTCTCTCTCTATCTCTCTCTATTCTCTGTCTCATAAATAAATAAAAAGAAGAAGAAAAAAGTGAAGAGATTTAGAAGCTTTAGAAATGGGTACATTCACAAGCTTTAGAAAAGCCTATGGTGCTCTCAAAGACACCACCATGGTTGGCCTTGCTAAGGTCAATAGCGAATACAAGGTCTGTATATATTCATTTTTTTTTTTATTTCAATTCATTTTTTTGTATTGATCTTTGAATTGTTTTTTACAATGTTGGGTATTTTTTTGATCTGGGTTTATTTTTAATGGGAAGGATTTGGATATTGCAATTGTCAAAGCTACCAATCATGTAGAGGGTCCTCCAAAGGAACGCCATGTTAGAAGTGAGTTCCTATAGATATATAATTTTTCTTTTTCATTTTGTCTTGTTTTTGATTGTGCCATTTGAACAGAATTGGATTAAGATTGTTGATCTGTATATATACATACATTCCCTCCATGTATGAATGTAATTATGGTTTCAATTGGAATTTGCATTTTTGTTGGTTTTCTACATAATCTACCTATCTATCTATCTATCTATCTATATATATATATATATATATATATATATAACTTTTACTTTTGATTGATAATTGCTCGAAACAATGCATTTTCCTTTTTTGTAATCTTATTTTTATGTTTTCTTTCTTTGTAGAAATTTTTTCTACAACGTCGATAGCATGCCCACGAGCAGACATTGCCTATTGCATTCATGCACTTTCTAGGAGATTGGCAAAGACGCGCAACTGGATTGTATAGTCTTTTCTCCTCATTTGATCAATTTTGTGTCCTATTTTTTTAATTTACTTTTTTTTGGTTATCAAATCACTAGTTACTTATGACCAACACACCAATTGTTGGTGTAAATGGCTAAATCATTGTCAAGCATTTCAATGTTGTTAAAAGTTAAGAATGAGTTTTTTTCTTTCTTTCTTTTTTTTTCTAAATTTATTTTGGGAGCATTTTGTCTTAGCTTAATGGGTTTGCTCGCAGGTTGCCATAAAGACATTGATAGTTATTCATAGGACATTGAGAGAAGGTGATCCTACTTTCAGAGAGGAGTTGCTAAACTACTCATACAGAGGACACATTCTCCAAATTTCCAATTTCAAAGATGATTCAAGCCCTCTCGGTAAATTGTTTCTACCCAATGTTGAATGATTGGACATATATTTTCATCTTATTTTACTAAAGCAAAATTATGAATTATGGTGATTTGGGAACATTTTGAATTTTGAAACAAAGCATGAAACATTTCCTTTTTAGACTAATATTTGGTCATGCAGCTTGGGATTGCTCTGCATGGGTCCGTACATATGCACTCTTTTTAGAGGAACGGCTTGAATGTTTTAGGATTTTGAAATATGATATTGAGTCAGAGCGTTTGACTAAAACCTCACAAGGAGCAAACAAGGTGTGTGCTTCTCATATCATTTAGGTTATGTTTGGATCATGGTTTTTAGGTAGGGATTTGAAAAGGGAAAGGAAAAAAGGTGAGGTAAATTCCTTCCTCTTTCCAAATCCCTACCCAAATCATAATTCAAACACAGCCTTAGGTGAGTCTCCTAATTTTTACTTTAGTTTTCTTACGATTTGTGTCATAGGTGCATAGTAGAACAAGACTCTTGAATGGTGAAGAGCTATTGGAGCAGTTACCTGCATTGCAGCAGCTTTTGTACCGCTTAATTGGGTGCAAGGTAATGTTTCAAATGAATTCCAAATTTCATCCCAGAGTTTCTATGAGGCACCTTTGTAACATGACTTGTAATGTATATTTTTCTGTTAATTAGTTGCTTTCTGACTTCTGTATAGGCTATTTGATTTACTCTTTTTTCTTTTTCTTTTTTTTGGCAGCCCGAAGGAGCAGCTTACCACAATTTTCTAGTACAGTATGCCCTGGCTCTGGTATGCATTATTTACTTTTTCTTTCTATCCATAAATCCCCACTCAAATCCTTGATCTAAACACAGCCGTATAAAATAAATAGATTTAGCTTAACATTGGTCTAGGATTTTCGTAATATATGGAAAGACATGAATTCATTGCACACATATCTGCATCGATGAAATTTCGTTAGTTCCAGCATTGCAATTTATAAATTTTCTAACATAAACATGAATAAGAACAAGAAACAAAAAACAGGCACACACAGAACACAAATGATTTACGTCAGGATCCACACTACTGGAACATAAAGCTGATAAATTTACAGATCTTATTCCATTATGTAAAATGCTTTCAAAATGAGATGGTAGTTTTGTTATTTGTCTGTTATGTTTGAGGACTTAATTTTCTCCCAATGTGACCTGAAAGGCTATAACTCGTTCATGTTTTTATGTGGTATTGTAGTCAAAAGACAATATGTCTCAAGTACTGAATGAAATTTTATAAGATTCAACTGTTGATCATGCAGGTACTGAAAGAAAGCTTCAAAATTTATTGTGCCGTCAATGATGGGATCATCAATCTTGTGGATATGGTATGATTGTATTTTCCTACTTCCTGGCCTATCTTCCATGTACTAAAGATTTTCTTATTATAAGTTTAACTTCTTTACCTTCTTGCAGTTTTTTGACATGTCCAAACACGACGCAGTTAAAGCTCTTAATATCTACAAAAGAGCTGGCCAACAGGTTTACAACTACGCCCTCTTTAGGAAGTTCTAATTGCTTCATGAAAATATGTTTGGCTGTAATTGTATTTTTTTCCCCTAAGGTTGTGTCTAGATCAAGGATTTGAGAAGTGAATTATAGAAGGATCCCTTCTCTTATCCCACCTCAAATCCTAATTGAAACACAGCCTAAAGAGGATGTTCACGTTTTGTATGGACAAGAGAGCTCTAAGTTTTTTTATTCCCCCTTTCCATTTTGTAGGCCGAAAATCTTGCTGCCTTTTATGAATTTTGCAAGGGTCTAGAGCTCGCAAGGAACTTTCAGTTTCCAACACTGAGACAGGTTTCTTTTTCATACTTGTAACTAAAAAGCTTGTGGCTTTTCATAACTAATTTATTTCTTGCACTGAACAGCCACCACCTTCATTTCTTGCAACTATGGAAGAGTACATAAAAGAAGCACCTCAGATTGGTTCTGTTTCAAATAGAAGATTGGTGAGAACATTCACCCATTTTGATTTTTTATTTTTATTTTTATTTTTGTAAATATAGACATACATATGGATATATATAAAGAAAAAAAGAAAGAAAAAAAAAGTACATATGTATGTATGTATATATGGAAGTGTATCATATCTAGGTATCTGTGTTTTTCATGTTGAACTTATTGTAGTGTTCGGTACTTCTCTTTTGTTAAAAACATGTTTTACGTGTTAACCAATATGATGTATATTATTGATTAATTGATAATTACAAGATTGTTGTATGTTTACAAAGAGATTTACACTCTCTTTATAGAGAGGAGAAAGCCAACATTGGGTACCAATTGAGGCACCGAAAGCATAAAGCAAACTAAACATAATGATACCACTAGCATCACTAACATATAATACTAACATATTTTAACATTACGAATCAAATTGAGAACCTCCAATATTCCACGATCTCAACCAATTTAACATGACATAGTTTTCTCTGCATTGGGTATCAGTAAATATTTTAACTTGCAAATTGATCTTTATTAATCTAAAATTTGTGCTAGGTTGCACAAGTGTTTTAATCTGGTTAAGATCATTGGCATCCCCATTTGGGTTTCAACTTGTGCGTCTTAATAACATTTTTGACTCGTGTTTCTACAGTAGTTGTAAAACAAACTTGCTCATTTATCATATGCCTTCTGAAAACCTTGAACTCGGTTACTTTCTTGCAATCTTTTCTGGAAGTATCACATTGAGATCATATTATTGTATTGTATTGATCATTACTATTTGTTGTTGTCTATGAGAACTCAAGATTCTTAGAATCATTTCTCAGAAATGGTTCGTTTATCTGTTGTAGACTCAATGAATTTGTTTTCCCAGTTTGAGTCTAGTTTACTTATCATAATTAAGATGAATATATTAATTTTTATTTTAACTTTTTTGGGGGTGTATAGGTTTTGGGCAGGCATTTTGTTATTACCCAGACGTGTCATTTTTCTTTTCCTAAGCAAAAGACTAGTCAGCTCTGAGGTTTAATAGATCACATTACCTGTGGTCAAAGTCTGCCACATGGTTGTTGATTTATTAGTTTTTGGTGTTTTCTTCTTGGCTCACTATGAACCTCTCCAAATTAGCAAATCAATTGTTGAAATTCAACATGGTGACTTTTCAAATACTTAAAAGTCTTTTTTCTTTTTCTTTTATTCCTGTTAGTCTCTTTTACTTGGTAACAAATGGACTTGAGTGAGGTACCAACTAACCTTTAAAATTTTAATCATTCGGTCGACTTTTCCTTGAATTTCATTTGAGTTGAGGTACTAGCCATTAAAATTTTAATCGTTCGGTCTACTTTTCCTTGAATTTTTATTTGAGTGCTCAAATATTCAGCCAAAATGATACAAATTTCAAACTCTCCAAATTACTATCCTTAAGAACTAGACTGACTCTTTGCATAAATTTACGGCCAAATAAAATGATGACCCAGTATTGACCACATTGTTCATATTTGGCATTTGTGTTGATTCTTCTACGTCGATTATAGGAGTACAAGGAGATAATTGCAGAACCAGAGCAACCTGCAGAAACTGCCCCTCAAGAAAGTGAAGAACAAGATGAAGAAGTTGAGGATAAAGAACAATTAGTAGATGATAAACAAGAGGAACCAGAGCCTGAGAAGGAAGAGGAAGTTCCACCATTGATATTGACTGAAGAAACTGGGGATCTTCTGGTAAGTTAGTGGTTAGGTTAGCTTAGCTAGTTTTTCGTTTCTGATACGCATATCATTTCTTGTGCAGGGTTTGAATGAAATAAATCCAAAAGCTGCTGAAATAGAAGAAAGCAATGCAATGGCTCTTGCCATAGTTCCCCCTGGTACGTTGTTAATGCATTCTCGTGGACATCTAAATGAAGCCAATCCTTTGTTTATTATTAATATCATCTCTTTTAAATTTTGATTTTTCGCTCTCTGGTATCTGATTGATCGTGCTTGTCATTCAAAAAATAATGAGAAATTGTTCTGATGAGTGAAATATTATTCAGGTAATGATCCACTATCATCATCAACCAATTGGGGGTTGACTGATATTGGAAGGACTTCAGGATGGGAACTAGCACTGGTTACCACACCGAGCAATAATAATAGTCACGTGACGGATAGCAAATTGGTTTGTTCTATGTGCTCCGATAGGAAAATTACTTCATGTCACTATTTATTTTCTCAGAAAGGGCTGTAAATATCAATGAGTTGCATAAACGCATAGATGTTAGGTTGAGTTTTCAGAAATTTTTCAAAAACTAGTTTGGTAAAAAAATTGACAAAAAAAAAACTTATTATTTTGAAATGGTTCTCTTTTTTGAAGTGAAAATAATTTTTAAAAATTCAAAAGATCTGTTTTGGTATTAATTTTTGTCAAACTATTAGTTTCTAATTTTTTGAAAGGATTTCATGAACAACTTTTGAAAACTCAACCACACATCTTTGCGAATCCTTGTACAACCGCACTATATATGAAAAGATCATATCAGATTGTGATGGATATTTGTTTTTATTTGTCAGGCTGGTGGGTTTGACAAGCTATTACTCGACAGCTTGTATGAAGACGATGCGTCGAGGAGACAAATACAGCTGCAGAATGCAGGCTACAATACAGGCTACGGTTATGAAATGACTGCACCAAATCCATTTGATCAACGGGATCCATTTATGATGTCAAACAACATAGCACCACCGACCAACGTTCAAATGGCCATGATGGCTCAACAGCAGCAACAACAACAACAAATGATGTTGCAACAGCAGCAGCCGCAACAGCAACAACAAAACACCATGATGATAACACCTTATCAATACGCACCTCAATATTCCCAGCAGCAGCAGCAGATGCCATATATGGATGCTGCTAACCCATTTGCAGATCCCTTTAACTATCCACAGAACACAACTCCACAACAAGGAAACCATACTTTGCTTTAGAGATATTTTTATTTTTTCAAAATTTTAAAAAATCTTTTTGAAGTGTATTCTTTAATTCTTTGGAGTAGGTGGATCCTCTTGTGGTGCAGTTTCGAAAGTTAATTCTTTTAGATTTTCTCTTCTTTTTCTTTTTATTTTCCCTTGTTTTCATTCATTCTAAATTGACAATGTCTTCTATGTAACTTAACTTGCTGATATATGAAAAGTGCAATATTATCTTTTTGTTATAGTTTGACATATATCTATTTGTTACGCCTTGATTCTTGCAAAATTTCTCTTTTTCTACCGGGGATCAAATTTCATGTAACATGCTACTTACAAGTAATTTATAGAACTTTTTATTTTTAAGGGAGGATTATGATAGTGACTAACTAGAAAGCAAGATTGTGAAAAGCGGTTGTGGTCGCCGTAACGGTGGCGATGGTGCGGTTGCGGTTGCAGAGTGTAAAAGCCGTAGTGTAACGATTGCAGTAACCGGAACTATGAATTTTTTTATTTTTTGCACAATTTGAAAGAAACTTACCGATACGCATATTTTTTTGTCATAATCATATTTATTGAGTTTTAAAATAAATATTGATCAATTTTTGTAAATTTTAAAGTATGATCCAAGATATTTCATATTTTTAAATCATTATAAACTGAGTTTTTCACATTTTATTTTAATAATTAATAATTTTATACGTCATAAATCCATATTACGCTTGTGGCAACAAAAAATATATATTATTGGAATTAGATGTATAAAATTATTTTTTTTTAATTATTATATTTGTGGAAGCATATGCAAATTTTAACTTGAATAGTTTTAAAAAAACAAATTAGACATGCTAATGTAATCATATAAAAATTAAAAAATAAATTATAAAGAATTTTTTTTCTTTTTGGTTTGGATCATTTGAATATTCATTCTCTTTTTGGATAACCTGTAAATAAAAATAAAATAAACTAATCAAAAAAAATTGACATGCATAAAATATGTATTAATATATAATTATAGGTGTTATGTTTTCTAGATTTTTACAAAAAAATCAATCACTAACTATTATATATAAGTCAAACAATGTCAAAAGTAAGAGAATAAATAAGAGCCTAAATATATATATATATATATATATTTTTTAATCAAGTCAAATAAATAATGACCACACTTATTATTATTATTATTGTTATTATTATTATTATTAAACAGTATATGGATAAACACACACAAACAAAATGGTTGAGTGATAGCAGCTGAATAGAATAGTATAAGTCTTCCAGCTGAATAAAATAGCACAGATTTTACAACTTCAACAAATCAATAACATGTTATTCATCTTTCCTCTTCTCTCTCTATCTCTTACTCCTCCATCTTCCCTTTTCATCTTCCCTCTTCTCTCTTTATCCCTCTTTCTCCATTTTCAATTTTTTTTTTTTGTGTTTTTTTTTAAAGAAACAGTTCGAAACCGTTACGTAACGGAGCCGCTACGACCGACACACCTGTGAATCTCAATCACACTGTAAAAGCGGCCGTAACGGATAACGGTAACCACCAAAACGGTTACGTAACGATTGCAGCTGCTTTTTAAAATCTTGCTAGAAAGGCAATAGGCTCAGTTGTTTCACGAAAGTTGTGAAAGACATGAGAGAACATAAGAAAATGAAATGAAACTCTGTATAGTTGTTTATACAAAAAATGACAACTTGGATTAGAGAGCAAATAAGTGGGAAATTTTTTTTCTACACACTTACTTAGTTTAGTGCATATCATTTCTCAGTGCATATACTTATTAATTATTTTTCTCAATTCGCACACTAAATATTTCAATTACACTCTTCACTCATACCATTATACACGTGTAGACCCACTGCTACCTGAGTTGGATTTCTCATTCAGAGTACTCATCTTCGGGAAAACAGGTGTTGGCAAAAATGCAACCATAAATTCTATTTTTGATCAAACCAAGGCCATGACTGATGCATTTCAACCCGCCACAAATCACATCCAAGAGATTGTGGGAATGGTTAAAGGAATTAAAATATCTTTCATTTGCACACCAGGTCTTCTGCCCTCCTCTACAAATACTTTCAAAAGAAATCGAAAGATTCGCGCTTCGTGAAGAGGTTCATTAAAAAGTCCCCACTAGACATTGTTTTGTATTTTGAACAGCATGACCTACCGAATGTGGGTTGTAGTGATTTTCCCCTTTTGAAAACCAAGTACTTTTGGCGGAGAATCATCCTCATTGTAAAATAGACATCACGGGTGAGAAAATTCTTCCGAATGAACAAGTTTGGAAATCTCAGTTTTTGTTCTTCTGCATATTTACTAAAGTTCTGGGAAATTCTATTTCCGCCAACGTAATTATCTCAGTGCACATTTTCTCTCAGTATACATACTTATTAATTTGATTATTAATTAATTTTTTCAATCCATACACTAAAAGTTACAATCATACCCTTCGCTCATAATCATTGTACACATACCACTCAACCGTCACATTTTTTTTTTCTTTTTTTTAAAATGTTTTTCGGTTTGGAGATTTCGGCACTGGTTTTTCGAAATTATACATTTAATTCAAAACTTAACTTTCCGAATAAAAATGATTAGTTCGACAAATTTGTTCCAAAAAAAATAAAAAAAAAATTTCAGCAGTTCATGTCCGAATATAATGAAATAATTCAGCATTGGTCATCCAACTGAAAATTGCAAAAAAAAAAAAAGAGAGAGAGAGAGAGTTGTGCACGAAAAAACTAACATTTTCATCACTAATAGAGTATAAATTTAGATATTAAAACAATATGAGTGTTGTTATGAGAGTATTGATTTGCAAGCATATATAAGTAAAGTGACAACAATAAAAAAAATTAGGGTTTAAATTTTTTTTTTCTTCTCTTCTTTCTCAAAAAATTCTAAAAATATGCTCACAATCTGATTTAAATAAATAAAAATAATATTATAACAACCTCAACAAGGTTCATCGTGCTGTCTTCAGATGCACTTGAAGTTTTTCTTGGATACCCAGTTTAGGCTTTGGAGTTCGAGGAGAATCTGAACCATGCTGTCCACGAAAATTTGTACATTGAGTTTTTTTTTTTTTTTTTTTTAAAGAAAAGGTGTGTACATAAATATTTTCATATGATATTATGAGTTCTAGTAGATGTCTATTATGATTATTTTAGTTTAGGGTATAATTGTCATTAAAATAATATTTCATTAAGTATGTACACTGAGGTAATTAGGTGTGTGAAAATTGAATTTTTCAAAGTTCTAGGCGATGTTAATAGGATTTCGAAATTACAAGACAGTGTTATACTAGGCCCATCAAGTATTACACAATTGCCTTCCCTGTTTGGAGATTTTTTTTCACACTGAGATTTTTTATTTTTTATTTTTTTTGAAATGGGTGTATAGAGAAAATTGGAATATAATATTAAAGGTGTATTTTAATATCCATTTGTGGGGACATATTTTCTGAATACCAACACGTGGCATGGTGACGCCGACGTGTCAGCCGAGGTGCCACGTGCCCTGGTAGTTAAGCCGAGGTAATCTCGGAGAAGCCGAGGTCATCTCCGAAGATGTCGGAGTCCGAAGATAAGGGACAAGAGTCCTGAGGCAAGGAGGGGACTTAGTTAAGATAAGGATAAAGCTCTTAGGGAGTTTATCTCTATCTCTTAAAGAGTCCAGAGTAAGCACTAAGATTGGAGTTCATAGAAGTCATACTTCTAGTTGGACTTGGATTGAGTATATTATAAAAGAAAGGCACCCCCGTGGGTCTAAGGTATGTAATTCATACTTTGAGTATTCAGTTTAATACTTGATTATCCTTGAGAAACATACTGACTTGATCGTCGGAGTGCCCCCGGGTGGAAGAACCACCGCCGGAGCTTTTCCTTTCTGTTACAGGTTGCTGGAACCATCTATTCTGCCGGTGCTTTGCTGCTGATCACTAAACGGGCAGTGTGGTCAGATTTTTACCCACACATAGAACGGTCTACTGAACTATGTTTCGACGTGAAAAGTATGGGCACGTACCAGACCAAGCTCAACATGGAAAGACGAAAGCCATAGGCGGAGGTGATGCAGTGAATACATGCAAGCTACATTGCAATATCTACAAATATGCAATGGAATGGAAATGGATACAATGGATATGGCCTGCGGGCCAAACCAAATCTTGCCTAGGAAAGGCATGTACACATACAAGCCGTGTCTAACATAGAACGGTCTACTGAACTATGTTTCGACGTGAAAAGTATGGGCACGTACCAGACCAAGCTCAACATGGAAAGACGAAAGCCATAGGCGGAGGTGATGCAGTGAATACATGCAAGCTACATTGCAATATCTACAAATATGCAATGGAATGGAAATGGATACAATGGATATGGCCTGCGGGCCAAACCAAATCTTGCCTAGGAAAGGCATGTACACATACAAGCCGTGTCTAACATAGAACGGTCTACTGAACTATGTTTCGACGTGAAAAGTATGGGCACGTACCAGACCAAGCTCAACATGGAAAGACGAAAGCCATAGGCGGAGGTGATGCAGTGAATACATGCAAGCTACATTGCAATATCTACAAATATGCAATGGAATGGAAATGGATACAATGGATATGGCCTGCGGGCCAAACCAAATCTTGCCTAGGAAAGGCATGTACACATACAAGCCGTGTCTAACATAGAACGGTCTACTGAACTATGTTTCGACGTGAAAAGTATGGGCACGTACCAGACCAAGCTCAACATGGAAAGACGAAAGCCATAGGCGGAGGTGATGCAGTGAATACATGCAAGCTACATTGCAATATCTACAAATATGCAATGGAATGGAAATGGATACAATGGATATGGCCTGCGGGCCAAACCAAATCTTGCCTAGGAAAGGCATGTACACATACAAGCCGTGTCTAACATAGAACGGTCTACTGAACTATGTTTCGACGTGAAAAGTATGGGCACATACCAGACCAAGCTCAACATGGAAAGGCGCAAGCCATAGGCGTAGGTGATGCAGTGAATGCATGCAAGCTACAATGCAATATCTACAAATATGCAATGGAATGGAAATGCAATATTTACAGTGGAAATGCATGACAAATGCACTATTCTACGATGCATGACAATGCAATATATACCATGTATGCATGACGATGCACCATTTGCAATGAATGCATGACATATGCCTATATTTTTTGTTGAAATGCATGACGATGCATGATTTCTTTTTTGTTTGAATACAAATGAT